TTACAAAAAGCCAATTAACAAAATTAAAAAAAAACTCACAAATAGTCCGCATACCAATTTTTAGTTTTCTACCTTGAAAATTGTCTAATAAATGCTCCATCCAAACTTCATCCAGAGAAGTGGATGGTGAAAAAGAGACAAAAAGTAGCCTTTGTCTCTCTCCAACCTTTCAACTATTTTCACTTGAAAAATCACATCAATTCATCCATCCGTTTTGCTTTGAAATACGGACAAATAAACAGACACACACACTTCCGTATTCACACATCACACATGGAAGTATGGATGTTTATGAGCAGTAAAAATTCTATACAAAATATACTTGTCACAAAAGCACTGCAATTACGTGTGAACTTATATTTTCATTATTATTGATAGCACACACCAATCATTCACGGCTCGTCTCATAAAAAAACTAATTATCATATTTTTCTAATAGGTATGTAAATAAAAAAGAATATTTTTGAAATTGTACTTTTTATACAGTTTGTTTTAAACTAAGAACAAAGGAACACGTGCAACGAACCGAAAATTTTAATGTCTTTTTATTTGTGAAAATAAGTAGTTCTTTTTTTAAAGTTGACGTTTTATATTCAGTGTTGCTAGTGGCTGTGTCTGAAATGTCTCATAATAACGATATACCGAAATATACGGTCAGTGTATTTTATAAAGCTTTCTTTTTAAAAATAAATCATGTTTCATGTTTACTTCATTTTTGTGCAAATTTTGGGTACCAAGATTACGTAACAAGTAGAACGTTTAAGTTCAGCCAAATTCAGCGACATTACCATAACTATTTTATCACTACATAGTATAAAACAATTTTTTAATAGATTGAGTGATTCTTAAGGAAGGTACGTATACACATACATATTGCACCCGTCCGAAGCCGGGGCGTGTTGCTAGTCATACATATTTAACTTTAATTAACCACATATGTAATAAATTTCACATAAAAATACCGTACCACTAATATTATTAAATCTGCATACCTTCGTTAGTAATTTAGTTCAAAATATAACAATTATGATGTTCGATATGTCTCGTCCGACATAATAGTAAGTATCGACTTGAGCTTTGCGTGTAAGGTAAATCGATTATATTGACCCCTGACCTGACCTACATAATTACAAAATATCTTCCTGGCTATTAATAGTATACCAGTAACTAAATAAAAAAGCCGATTATAGGTCTCCATTTTTAAATATACATTGTCCAGGAAAGCGAATTAAAAAATTATTCGTAATTCGTAGCACATTTTTTTTTTGTTTAGGTGCCTACTTATATTAATCATATTTTGTTAAAAAAGAAAACGAACTAATAAAAGAAAATTTCGGAAAATTCGTCACGAAATTTCACATTTTCACCGAAGTGGTGGGCCTCTACCAAAACAAATACCGTTAATTTATGTCAGGGAATAGGAATGTCAATTACATCTTTCCTGGTGTATGATTAAATACCCATAGTCAGTAGTCACCCATAGTCGTATACAGATATGCAAAATTATCTAATTGTCTCGACCATGACATTCAAAGTAGCATAAATATTTTTTTTAATTTTATGTCTATTAACTCGTCGAGTACCGGTTTTATAGACACAATTAAAGAACAATAGGTCGCGGTCACCGGTGACCGCTTGGTGCTTGACAGTTTAAACCAGTTTGATTCGAATTGAAATAATTTTTAAATTCCAATTACCTACCTATCGAGCTTCGTTTACAAGGTAATCGTTATTGATGAATGCATTTTATTTTTATACTTCCCTATTTAAACAAATAATTATTTAACATACTATATTCGTAAATTTTGATATAATATAACATAACATCACGCTTTTTATCCTCGAAGGCGGAAGCAGATGTGCGCATTACAGCACTTAATGCCGCTGTTCAATGTAGCACCCACTTTTCACTATTTATATTAAAAGTCCCAAGTAATAGGGAGTGAGCCTATTACCGCATATACCGGGTACATTTCCAAACTCCTTGCTAGTGAGAATTTCTTTCAAAAACCCAGTAACACTTTGCCCGACCCGGAAATCGAACTTGACATCCCTTGCCCGGTAGTTGCACTTGCGACCACTCGGCCAACGAGGCAGTCAGTAAATTTTGATATAATAAAACATTAATAGACGTTAGAATATTATTATGTCATGAAAGTAGCCACAATTAAAAGATATTTTATATTTGACTTCGGTTTATAATCTTCCAGAAATTCTGAGTTCAGCAGAGGGTTTCTTTAGTGGTAAGTGTTTTACGTTTAAACCTTTGACTGCCAATAGATAACTGTTGAAGGCAAATTTTTCGTTAACGTCGGGTACCGATGACCCCCGTGGCGTTTAATGTGTTAAAGAGATCGCAACGTTACCGTGTTCCTTAATTGCTCGGCTAATTGGAGCAGGCGTTGAATGGCAGGCTTTGAATCTGAGTAAGAAACTTAACGCAATAAATTATATAAATATTTTTAAGTAAAATTCAATACAATTCAATACAATTCAATACTGAAAAGTTTATTCTGAACGGATTCTTTTATATGAACACAGCATGATGTGATGCTCGTCAAAATTTCCACTAGAATCGCGCGTTACTACTCTTTGCGCGGGAAACTTTTCTAATCTGTCACATTTGACAGATGACATCATCAATATGACAGCAAGAGCTGGCGAAAACATAGATTAAACTAGTGACGGTTATTAAGTAGATTTTCGTTGTTTAACAATATAACAATATAGCATATATTATTATATATAACTAGGTATTTAGAGGTATATCACTCCACTACTGAAATGTGTAGTAATAGCCACGCATTACCTATGTTCAATTTACGTTTCTTAATAAACAAAACTGTTTGAAAACTTCACGCATACTACTTCAAAACAAATATTTGTTTCTAATAATTGTATGCAATATTTGCTTTCAAGGCCTTTAAAAAAAACGACAAAATGATGACTGTATTGTATCGTCACTAGTAATGTTTTTTTGTTGATCAGCTGAATTGACAATATAAGTAGCTTTAATATATTTTCTTTTATGCTCAAACTTATACGGTTATAATAATATTGATTTATGAATCATAATGTCTGGTTTGATCAATCGAGAAATAAGCATATTAATTTTTGATGCATTTCATTTTGTATATTTCTGATGTATATAAAGAATTTTTATATGTACATGTTCAAAGAGTGTTACCTAATAAGTGTTAAACAAATGAATAAAAGTATATTTTCTTCTTCTTCTTTACTCTTATGAATCAATTAATACCACCGAGACATGGGGAGCTTTGAACAAGAACAAAAATATTGACGAGGCCTTCTTACTCCTTATTTCTTTTTTTGAAATATATATATATATAAATTTTATTTCACTGCCTCGTTGGCCGGCTGGTTAACTACTTAAAACGTTAGGAAAAACCTCAAAGAAACAATAAATCGTACCTTACGACAAATCAATTTAAATAAATTAATTTATTCAAGAAACTTCCATAATAATATGTAGGTCCGTGAATCACTCTTGTTGACAAACACATGGAAATCATTCGGCTTGGTCTGGCCATAAATAGCATAAATGCACAACAAAAATCAGTGAATAGCCATAAAAATATAATAGAGGTATAATCACATATTTCGGAAGTTATAAATTAATTATTTTTATTTACCTCACTAAAAACAAATTTTATCGACTTTTCAATTTATATAAGTATATAAAAATGAATCTCTTTTTCTCTTGGTCACGGCATCACGCGCGAATGGCTGGACCGATTTCACTTATTCTATTTTTGCTGTATTTGTTATTATATATACAATCCTACGGAACGGGAGAAAACGGGATTGCGCGTACGAAGTCGCGGGCAGAAGCTAGTACAATAATATCTCGCGCAGAACCTAACGGGTTACCGGGGCTCCGGCTCGACGTGCAGGAGAAAGAACGGGGTGGTTTTTAGTCAGTAAGAGTCTGACACTCCCTCCCGCCTCACCCAGGCGGGAGCAGTCATTCGATGATTTTCCCCCCTTAAAAAAGTAAAGTACCTACAATAAAATAAACAAATATAGTTAATCACACTTTTATTAATTAGTTCTATGATATTCTTAATATTCGTTTAATTCTGAATGTGTAATTTTTTATAAAATAAATATACCTACTAATTTACGTAAGAAAGGAAATATTCCAAAACTGTAATATTTAATTTGATACGTCGGAGAATACTAAAAATGTTTTTAATTGAGATTTAATTTACTTATGTTATTACCTACGTCAGCGTATTTAAATAATAATAAAAAAACATTAAACATGGCAAAGCTGTTAAAGGCGAACTTTAATGAAAGAGGTTTGCCTGAAGTAGTTTTTATTATTTAATGTATTTTAATGTGTATTTTAAAAAATATATACGTGGGACATTTGTCTAGTTATACACACATGGACAAATAAGTAAATAGTGGGAACTAAAGAAATTATAGATAATAAAATGATTTGCAGGAAAAATAATTACATTCCAGGTACCCCAACGTCTTAAATTAGGTATAAGCTAAAGAAATAACAGTGCAGTTCAAAAAGAATTATTTATATTATATCGGTTTGGTATTATTTATTTATTTATTTAGTTATTAGAGTATTATTCCAAAGTTGAACATTTTATCAAAGGCTGACCAGATAACTTTTCATAAATATCAGAATTTTATCAACTGATTATTAAAGATTACATCACATCACAGCACCATATTTGCGTATAAAATCAATTCCACAAATTATTTATTAACAACTATATTCTTTAATGAATGAAACGGAAACTTACCGCACTCACTGCAGCTAATTTTAACATAAGTATTATTTACGTAAACACCCAAACAGTGATCACCACCATTTTTATAAACTGTTCCAAATTCAAATAAAACAAAACGTCATTAAAAAAATAATCATATTAATTCATCCTCGATTGAGGCAAAGATTCAGACATTCAGCCAGTAAATATATCGTATCGTATTCTCATTTGTAGCAGTTAGTTGAAATGCCGGCGCCGACGGGGCAGGACGCGAGTGCTAAAAACAGTGACGTGCATGTTATCGACATCGACTTGGATGTCGATCAAGTTGTCGCTCCCATAGACAAATCTGATATCCCAGTGATACACATCGACAAACCGAAGCAAGTGTACAGTACCATGAACGGAAACGGTAAGTTTCTTATTTTTTTTTTAGGAATTGATAATTTTATCGTTTGTAATTGGTTTTCCCGCCAAAGATTAATGAATGTGAATTAGCGTAATATTATTTAGTGACCATTGAATTATGATTATTTTATATTATAAACGTTAGAACCTTCACCTTTCTCAGTTCACCACGGGTTTAATATCAAGGTCTTTTCGCCGGCTAAGCAAAATACATACTTTTATTCCAAACACATTAAGAGACTTGTTAATTGTCGACTTGATAAATATTTTAAAAGTATTGTAGGTTTAGTACGTTATAGTGATAATATTTGTTTAACAAATAATTAATCCTTTGTGAAATATTAAACACACGAACTATTATTAAAACAATGATATCACACACGTAGTGGTTTCTAATAATAAGTGTCTACTTATGAAATAGAAATGCTTGCTTTCCGCGAAGAACTTATTCGAGTTACTACAGGTTGACTGATTCCACAAAATTGGATCCATCATGATAACACAATCATAGGGTTTCTTTGGACCCAAGCGGGAGAAGTAATTCGATGATTTTCCCTCCTTAAAAAAGCGTTTCCTTGGACAAAAATCATATCGAATGATCCTTCAATATTTCAATTGTTTACCTACAAAAATATTTCTAAAACAAAGTACACCGACCACGATTTTTTCCATTATATTAAGAAGTGAACTAATCGGTAGATGTAAACAAGTAAGTAGGTAATAGAAAATATCTCTACATACATCTCCACGTGACATCCACAAATCCTTTTGTGAGGTCACATGAATGTATTTTATTCGCCTATTGTTTAAACAATATTATTATTATATTTCTAGTTCTTGTAATCTAAATCGACAATTAGCAACAAATAAGATAACCAAGCTACCTATTCAATAGGACTTTTACTTACGTACATAATTATGTCTCTGTATAGAAAGAGAGAGCGAAATATGCGTACTTATTGTTACTAGCCGAACCTAGATAATAGACATTTTAATATACTTATAAGAAACAATTATTATCTGTTATTAAATTATAACAAACTGCGGCGAAGAGAATGGGCCATCAAGAGCCCTTAGTGCATTTTCTTATGATGCTTCCAAAGCTATTGTCTGGTCACGTACACTGCTACAACTACAAAAGATCGCGTTTTGTTTGTTAGTTTTATATTAGTGTATCTTTACTGCCTAAAGAAGAATAGGTGATCAAAGACACGCCTAAAATTAAGATGAAATATTTCAATCCATACAATGCGTACATTAAATGGCTTTCTGATATTATTTTGCCACTATTTGTTTACCATGTGTAGCTGTTGGTTTTCCAATACATAAATAAATAAATATATAAACCATGCAATATCGCATAAGCCCATCTCTCATACTACAACGGTGCAACGAAATGGTACTATTAAAAAATGTTTCTATGCTTGCTGACTGTCAAAATATTCTATATACAAACCTCACGCCTCATCTTGTCAATAATAACAACAACAAAAAAGTAAGCTGTTCGAACTCGATGCAATCGTTCATAAGTTATGCGGTCGCCATAAACATTGGCAGTTTATTTTTATTCGTAGCCAATAGAGAAAAGTAAAGGTCTTTTTTGGCGCCAATTTGCATTCCTTTTTTATAATAACGCAGTTTGAGTAAATTGTGATGCAATGGCTTATGTAATACTAAATAATATAATAAAAAAAGTAATAAAACCAACAATTCGTTGCGTGAAAGTAGTTTTATTATAAAAAAATCAAGTTTGCAATTTACTTCGCAGTCGTTTTGGTATCTTTAAAAGTGATATAATACAAATAATCTAGCTTTCTTAACGAAAATAGCGGTTTATGAATAAAAGTAAGCATTTATGTTGTTGTATGGATGGACTGTGGACAATTTTTCGTAACATGATTTTATCAAGGGTAAATATAAGTTCCACAAGGACTTCAAGGAGAATTTTGGGAATTTCCGATATTCTCAATATGTAAAATCATTACTGCTTCATTGGCCGAGTGGTCGCAAGTGCGACTGCCGGGCAAGGGGTCTCGGGTTCGATTCCCGGGTCGGGCAAAGTATTACTGGGTTTTAAAAATCTCAGTAGTAGGACGGAGTCTGGAAAAATGTGCCCGGTATATGGCAATAGGCTCACCCCCTATTACATGGGACTCATAACATAAATAGTGAAAAGTGAGTGTTACATTGTACAGTGGCATCAAGTGCCGAAATGTGCACCTCTGCCTACCCCTTCGGGGATAAAAAGACGTGATGTTATGTTATGTAAAATCATTATTAAAAAAATACTTACGCAACTTAACTCGTCGAGTACCGGTGACCGCTTGGTGTTTGACAGTTTAAACAAAAAATCTGTTTTCTACCGTTGTCTTTGCCATTAATTTAAGATCAAGTGTATTTTAATTTATCCTTGACTCTATTCACGGCACTTTGATGACGTCCGCATTAGGCTGAATAAAAATTCGATCATTTCCTTAAAGTGCAAAATGCTACAGCCAATAACTAGCTTCATATTAAAAAAATATGACGATCAAAATAACGAAAGTGTCAAGATGACAATAGGTAAAATTGAAATCAACGAAAGTTTAATTAGGCACTAAAAATAATATTAATTGCGTTTCAGTAAGTACCTGGAAAATTTAATATTTTTGCTGGAAAAGGGGCTTAATTATAAATGCGATGGAAGCTAAAGAAATAGGTACATAATTTTAATTTATTTCAAAATCGTAGGACCTATATGGCGGATCTCAGCAGTTTAGTTTTTTTTCTGTAAATTGCTATGAATATAGGTATGTGTAAATAAGTCTTTTCTCAGCATGTAATTTTTACATTGTCTTCTAATATAGCGAATAAATTCAAAAACTAGTTAATCAACTTAATAAAAATCATTATTGCAAATATATGTTTAAGTTAGAAAAATATTTCAGTGAAAAAATTCTGCAAACCTGATTATGATCTGATACGAATTTTTATGATATAAAAAACTGTTTGTATGTATTATAATAGATATTTCCTAGTAGACCGCAAAAATATTAAGCAAGTTGACCTCGAGCTTATTACCAGGTCAGAAAACCTTTTTTAAATAAATAAAGTAGGAGTTTTTTTCCTACTTCATTTATTTATATATTTAGGCTATTCTGTAACTGTCAATTCAAACTTTCGAAGTTAGCTCGATCGTATTCTTGCCCGTCATTGGTCGAGATTATTCACACAACCAATGGCATGGCGGATCGGGATCGAGTTCAATTCGAAAGATCGAAGTTACAGAAAATACAGAGGCTAGTACGGGTTTATTTTACGTTTAAAGTATTCGAAAGGAGTACGCGTTCGGCGCTCTGATTGGCCGGCACCAATGAACCAACCAATCAGAGTACCAAGCACGAATAACCATCGCAATCGTAACGTAATAGTATCGAGTGCATTCGGCGCTCTGATTGGCCGGCTCCAGTAAACTAACTAACCAGAGCGGCGAATGCGTACTCGTTACGATCACTTTAAACGTAAAACAAACTTGTACTAAGGCCTCAGAATAGCCTAACTGACCCAAGGCCGGAGACGTCATTGGATAAATTTTAAATAACATATTAATATTTTAGGTCTTCTCATTAATTATTGTCTACCTTAACCAAAAAATAGTTTAAAACATGTTTAAATCACGTATTTATTTTGTATATATATATCTATATGTATATAACCCACGCAGTCATCTGTGAAGACATAGCCTCGTGGACGGACTTTTGACGGATCCTTCATGCGCAAGTACCATCAACCACAGTTAGTCCGTAGGCGGCATGATTAATTCGAGTACCTCTACTATTACTGCGACTCGTGCCTATAAAGGAAGTCTTAAATACCGATTATATAACGTAATTTTACCTGCTATGCCTTTAAGGGTAAGCCAAGTTGTACAATGCGGTTAATTTTTTACATTAAATGTGTTAAGGTTAAGTGAATATACTAATTTATATGCGTTGTGGTGACCGCACAGTGTAATACTTTTGTCATATTACTCCTCCCAACTAAGGGACTTTAATGACTACACATTTTGGAAGACAAGACATCATTCCCTCTTCCAAACTGCAGTGTCAGACAGAAAGACTATCTACAGTTAGCAACACATCAAACAGAGTAACCAAATTAACTAAAAATGGTGGTAATACTCAGCATACTACTTACTCGTCACGACTGCCCAAGCTGCTCATGAGGAAGAGCCCCTCTATGGCTCGAAACTAGTACTTAACTTCTCAGTATTTTCACGTGAATAGATAACCCGGCCAAAAAAATCGCGTATAGGTTATAGCAAACTCGTCGTGGGCTGTTGATAATAAGGAACGGTTTCTCTTAAGATTTTTCTACGGAAATCATAAGTTAATGAGAACTAGAGATAACTCCTAAAAAAACTTACTGTCTACTCAAGATCCGTCCAAATATGTCCATTGTCCAATCCAAGACTGCTGCATGGTCGCGGGTTGGATTACCGTACTGAACAACTGTTTTTGTGGTCCATAGATTGTTGTTCCAGGTCTGGATATCGTGTGTACCTATGTGATCTTCAGTGGCGTAACTACGGGGTGGCAAGTCGGCAACATACCACGGGCCCCAGCCGAAAGGAGCCTCCGTCCAGAGTCGTACCTGAACTTTTCGGTTTTAAGTCTATGCCATCTGATGAATTCACCACGGGTCTCGAATAGTATAGTTACGCTACTGGTGAACTTGTATGTTTGTAAACGACACTGGAGAAAATACTGGTGTTGGGCAACGTTTAAAAAAAAGAATAAAAAAGTATTGCATTCGTAACAGCTTAATCAACAATATTGCATCTTTCATAATCTATGAATGTCTTATCTATGTTTCCTTTGACTCTGCCCTGACCAGTTTTATCCAAGGAAGTGTTAGAGAAAGCTTGCTAACTTGTTTGGCCCTTGCAGTTCATAAAGCAACAATTTTTCCTAGGACCCTTTCTTTATTTAAGTATTTTTGAAAAAATTGACGTGCGGTTATTTA